GGGGGGGGGGGAGGTAAGGGGTTAAAAAGCCGCCTAGGGGAAATATCAATTTAAGGATCTGGTGAAATACTTGTAACAAATTTAAGACTAGAAGAGTTTTTGAAAATCACTACGAATACTTCGTCATGCAGGGCTTCTTCCACCATTTTACTTTAGAACTATTTTTATTCTTTCTATATGGTGTAAAAGGATACTTTTATTCTTTGAATTCCAGGATTCTTCGATTGAAAAAAAAACCTCGATTGTCCCGGGATTCCTAGCTTGAGCAACAAAACTGTAAATTTTATAATTATAATAGTCTTTGCCGCTAACTCAAATTTTCTAATCCCTATTTCTTTGCAATCTGATGGTGTAAATCTTTGATATTTCAAACTCAGGTTATTCGATAGAATTTTTAGTTTGAAATATAAAGGTTTACGACAATGGGTTGAAATATTTAGGGATTAGAAAATCAGAGTTTGTGGAAACACACAATCCTTCAGGAATAATTAATTGGGACAAAGACTTAATTCTTTTGAAACCTGACTTGGTTTTGAACAGATGTTTTCTGTATTAGTAAAAGCTAAATCATACGACGTATAAAAAATAAATTCCATACAAGATTGAAATCTGTTATGATTTCAATCATATCTTCTCTAATCGAAGATCTAATTGTATAAGAATAAAACTGGTTTGAATTAATAATATGTAACAGAATAAATATGCTTTTTTCATACTTGTATGTAAAATCAAAATTAAAGGAATTACGAGGACACAAAGTCGTACTAGTAATGTCGCTTAAATTTGACTTTTTCCTTCTGTCTAGTTCACAGTGCTACAGGAAAAGTTAACTCCAACGAAAAGCAAAAAATGGAAAAAGTAATTTTTCAGAGATCAATATATTTTTGCATCACAAATAAAACAGCTCTCCACATTTACAAAATATTTACAAGAATAAATACATAATTATACATGTATCTAGGTACAAAGGTTGTATCACAGGTTGTGCAAATATTATCTAGTTTGTAACAAATATCAGAGTTGAGCGGACTGTCATTGTAATTATAAGTGACCTCCATATAAAGAGGCTCATGTCCGATTTACAACGGTACCATTTCATCTTTTATCTGATCAATAGCGTGGAAAATATCGTGGGTTTTCTAGCTTAACTGTTTGATTTTCACAAAATTTCTCCACTAACTCTGTAGCAAGAAATCCGCAAGTCTCTTTTGTAGATAAACCACAAATCATGGATAGCTCAATCATTCTTGTTTATTCAAAATTTTAAAGGGTACCGCTAGCTGTAGAGTGAATCGGACAGGAAAGGAGGGTCACTTGATATTACGTTTACATTCTCTTTTAGACTTTCTTATTCATGTTGAGCCCCAAGGAGTATATACTCCTTGGTTGAGCCTAATTGATATTAAAAATCATTAGTTGATATCTTTTTATTTATCAGCTCTTTTGATTGATATGTTAAACTTGATATATATCTATATCCATATCAATCCATGAATATCCTCTATTGATATCCATATCCATATCTAAGATCTTGTCCATATAATGAACTGGTAGATGGAGGATGAGTGTAACAATCATCAAACTGAGGTTGGACTGGATGGATTGCAAGATCTGGACTCCAGACTGGAGGATTAGCTCGGTAAAATCCAGGATTATTATCTAGAAAACTCTCAGGTTTATGAGGACTAATATACTCTCCCATAGGACTAGCAGGACTCATACAGTTTCTCATAGGACTAGTCATATGTCCCGGAGAGAATTGATGAGGACTAGTTGGGTTCTTGATAGGACTAGACATCATGGAGTAGGACTGTTGAGATGTATAGAACTGTTGTCCTCTACTAGGACTTGAAAGCTGTTGTTCTGCTGAGAACTGCTGAGACATAAGACTCTGAGCTAGGATTGCACAGTGCTGGAGCTGATCTCTCTGCCCGGAGTTAATCATCCCTTCCCAACCCGTGACCGGTAGATTTGGAGGTTTTCCAGTATCTCCAGATGTAATAGTTTCCTTCAAGGCATAAATGTAGTTGTTTGCAAATCTTAAAGTTTCTATTTTTGTTAATTTAGTTTCATCCGGGAAGGCCGGGAGCACAGTTCGCAGTTTCTCCAGAGCTTGGTTTAAAGTTTGCATCCGGGTTCGTTCTCTATCATTAGCTTTAGCTCTTCTAACCTTCTTAACCTTGCTTAGTTCAGTTGGAGATCTATGCTGCATCTTGTATTTAGATCCTCGTCGGACAGATCTTCGGTGAAACTTTCCGCTAAATCTGGAATATAAAGATTATATCAAATATAACTTTTCAGAATCAAGTTAATACATTAATTTTCTAAAATATTAAAATAATCAAAACTGGACACGTGATATAAATGAATATGAAAACGTTAACGGAATTCATGATAATTATATTAATATATAAATACATCTAGATACATAAATACAAATACACCTGGATCCATGGATAAAAATACATCTGGATACATGGATACAAATACACCTGGATACATGGACACAAAATACACTTGGATTCATGGATACAAATACACCTGGATACATGGATACAAATACACCTGAGCTGAAAACTTTAGAATATGATATCCTTAATCCCGATCTGTTAATTAATCTGAAGATTAAATTCACGAGGAGAACAAGCAAAATTTAATCTGGAGATTAAGAAAAAGAGCATTAATCCCGATATCCACCATTCTAAAGTTCCCAGCTCTGGATACATGGATACAAATACACCTGGATCCATGGATAAAAATACATCTGGATACATCGTTACAAATACACATGGAAACATGGATACAAATACATTTGGATACATGGATACATGGATACAAATACATCTAGATACATTAATACATATACACCTGGATACATTTATACAAATACACCTGGATACATGGATACATATACACCTGGATACATGGATACAAATACACCTGAATACATGGATACAAATACATCTGGTTACATGGATACAAATACATTTGGATACATGAATACAAATACACCATGGATACAAATACACCTAAATACATGGATACAAATACATCTGGTTACATGGATACAAATACACCTGGATACATAAATACAAATACAACTAGATACATGGATACAAATACATTTGGATACATGGATACAATTACTCCTGGATACATGGATACAAATACACCTGGACACATGGATACAAATACACCTGGATACATGAATACAAAGACACACCTGGATACATGGATACAAATACATCTGGTTACATGGATACAAATACATTTGGATACATGAATACAAATACACCTGAATACATGGATACAAATACATCTGGTTGCATGGATACAAGTACACCTGGATACATGAATACTAATACACTAGATACATGGATACAAAATACACACCTTGATACATGGATACAAATACATCTGGTTGCATGGATACAAGTACACCTGGATACATGAATACTAATACACCTGGATACATGAATACAAATACACCTGAATACATGGATACAAATACACCTGAATACATGGATACAAATACATCTGGTTACATGGATACAAGTACACCTGGATACATGAATACAAATACGTCTAGATACATGGATACAAAATACACACCTTGATACATGGATACAAATACATTTGGATACATGGATACAAATACACCTGGATACATGGATACAAATACACCTGGATACATGGATTCAATTACACCTAGATACATGGATACAATTACACCTGGATACATGATACAAAAACACCTGGATACATGGATACAAATACACCTGGATACATGGATACAAATTCACCTGGATACATGAATACAAATACACCTGAATACATGAATACAAATACACCTAAATACATGGATACAAATACATCTGGTTACATGGATATAAGTACACCTGGATACATGAATACAAATACATCTAGATACATGGATACAAAATACACAAAGATACATGGATACAAATACATTTGGATACATGGATACAAATACACCTGAGCTGGGAACTTTAGAATGGTGGATATCGGGATTAATGCTTGATCCATTCTTTTTCTTAATCTCCAGATTAAATATTGCTTGTTTTCCTCATGAATTTAATCTCCAGATTAATTAACAGATCGGGATTAAGGATATCACATTCTAAAGTTTTTAGCTCTGGATACATGGATACAATTACACCTTGATACATGGATACAATTACACCTATATACATGGATACAATTACACCTGGATACGTGGATACAAATACACCTGGATACATGGATACAAATACACCTGGAGACATGAATATAAATACATCTGGATACATGGATACAAAATACACACCTGGATACAAATACACCTTGATACATGGATACAAATACATTTGGATCCAAGAATATAATCCACTTGGATACAAATAAAACTGGATACATGCATATAAATATATATAGATAAATGGATACAAAGAAACATAGAAAAATGAGTTTAAGAATAAATTGTAAACTTATCGGTTTCACATCTTTCCTTTGAAACTTATTATCAAATTAAAAATCAAGATTCAACATTTTTATCTAATTATAAAAATTTTAAGAATTCTGAAAATATTCAACAACAAGAAAAGTAAACAGTCCCCTAAAGCAAAACATTGCTACTGGAGTTTTAAATCAACTTGTCCACTTCCGTTTCAAATTTTAGATGTAACAAAGTATTCGACCGCCAATTTCTTCAGATATCTTAAAAACTGATGTTCAAATATGAGAGGAGGGGAAGCGGCACGAATTCTAATAAATTTCAAGAATCTAGATATACCTGGAGCTAGAGTCTGGACTATCTCTATCATCACTTGTAACACTCCCCTCCTTGATTTCATGTTTGAGTTCGTCCTCATCAAATCCTCTCATCCGTAGAGATAGGACTTGTGGTTCTCCGGACTCAACCATCTTGCAAGATTTTGCACTCTTGTATTTGTACTAGAATCTTCCCAGAAGGGGCCGGTTCATTTGGTGTACTGTCACGCTTTGCTTATAAAGTCTTGTACAGCTTATTCTAGCTGCTTAAAAGTCAGCCCAGTAATTGCAATGAATCAGAGTTTACAGTGATTGTAATTTATTTAACTGTGTTGTAACTAAGGGTTTGATCACAGCTCTTGATTTCTATAATATCTCTGGATATGGTTGGTTTAGTTTCCCTGAGACGGGTTCAATTCTTCTTGCTCCGGACCCTCTTTAGATCAGAACCCAGAGATTTCTCATCCCAGCTTGAACAGCTGGGATTGTATAAACTTTAAATAGGTTCACTCCAGGGGTGCGGATAATACCCCAGGGGGGAGGGGGGGACAATAGTTTCAATCCCAAAACTTTAAAGAATAACAACCAAGCTTCGAACTTCCTGCTTCAGCTCCCCAGGTTTTGTATTTCCTGAAAATAAAAGACGTGTCAATCAATTTTAGTTTAAACAGGGCAGATCAAATGTTGAACCTGATACCCACTACTCAGATCAAACGATTTTTAAACATTTTTCCAGAATTTTTTAACGGATTTTTGATTATATAAACAGACAGTATAAGGTTAACACGACAACATTTATGATCTTTTTATTTTCATTATTCTTTTTTCCATTTTTGAGTTAAAAATTCTTTTAATTTTAAACATTCCTTTCCTTTCAAAATCTATTTTTAATTGTTTCTAGTTATTTGAGCTTATCCTGCTAATCTTTGCTGATTGTTTTCCTCATAACTTTGCCATCCCATATTTTTATCGCTCTTTACTTTGAAGTTCTATAATCCATATTTATTAAGGGACTGTTATTATAAATTCAAGTAACTCTCTATTCATAGGCTGGCATATCTGATTCACGAATGTACCATTAAAAGCTTTGTATGATCAAGAATTTATGAACTGTCATGTTTCTCTTTTAGAAATTTGATTATTTTCAAATGTGGTTTCCAAATAAAAATCACACGCTGATTACTGCTCACAGAAGCAATTAAGTTAAAAAAAAACGACAATATCTTCCACATAATTGATCAGATAATTTTTTTAAGGGTCCATTTTTGAATCGGACATGCCACTTTTTTTAAATAAAGGATTACATGAAATTCAACCTACAAGTATCTTTACTGATTCTTTGCTCTTAATTAAAATTTGTTTGTTTAATTGTTTTCATATTGTTATTCCGGTTCTTTTCCTATCCTTTTCCTGTCCTTTTCCTATCCTTTTCCTATCCTTTTCCTGTCCTTTTCCTGTCCTTTTCCTATCCTTTTCCTGTCCTTTTCCTATCCTTTTCCT